CTACCATAGAGCTACTCCCGAAACCCGAGACAAATTGATCCTCAAAGGCCTCCCTCCCAAACCAAACGCCAACGAAATGCTCCAGGAAATCCACAATCAAAATTTTACCTGCTTCTACCTTTCAGAAATGACCCGCTACAACCCCCGCCAAAACCACTACCAACCTAGGCATTTATGTAATAGAAGACCCCAAATAACAAATTCCTCAAATCAAATCCAACCTCCGCTACCTCTGCCTGGATCGTGTCACCATTGAATCCTACAAACCCAACAACCGAATCCCAAGATGTACCAACTGTCAACTCTTCAACCATACCCAATCCTACTGTCATAGAACACCAATCTGTTGCTGCTGTGCCCAACCCCATCCTACTGACAATTGCCCCAACCTATCGCGACCAGATTTTAAACCCCTATGCATTAATTGCACAAACGAACACCCTGCCAATGACCCTCAATGTCCCACCCTCATCCCACACAAACAACAGAGAGAAATTCATCTTTAAAAAATCCAAACCACTCGACAATCCCTCTCCAGCCAAAACACCGTCAACTTCCAACAATCCTCATTCCCATCCCTTCCCAGCAGATCCTACGCACACATAGTGACAACCCCAACCCCTTTATCACAAAACCCTCCACCACCTAACTGTGAATCATCATCCACCTCCACCGCCACAGACCTCAAAGAATTCCTCACGCTAATAAAAACCTTTAACCTTCCTAAGCTCCTTCAAACTATTAAAGAAATTATTCCTATCTTCAAATCCTCTGATGACACCCTGTCGGGAACCTACCCCAAAAAAGGTCCTCTATTTAACAGTTTCTATCAGATTATTCGATCGGTATCTTCCTTATTCAAGAAACCCACCTTAAACCACACATTCCCTTCTCTATTCCAAACTTCACCATTTACCGCTCTGACAGACCAACCCACGGAGGCGGAACAGCCATTCTAATACGAAACACCATTCCTCACTCCCATATACCCTCTCCACCCACTACCATCATAGAATCAACAACCATACAAATATCCTCTTCCAACTCACCCATAAACATTTCCTCAGTATATAAACCACCACACATAGATCTAGACCTTCAAGACCTTTCCCTCCTCTTTGCATCCCCCACTCCTACCATCATCGCCGGCGACTTAAATTGTAAAGACAGACACTGGGGCTGCCAAACTACCAACACGAACGGACATTTAGACGACCGCCCAGAAATTATCCTTTTGGCCCCTCCAGAACCCACCCACCTCATCCAAGAAACCCCCATGACATACTGGACATTATACTCCACAGCCAAAAAACCAACGCTCCATACGTACGATACGAACTAACCTCTGATCCCCTTCCTGTAATTTTCTCAACATGCACTTCAATATACCCATCCCAACACCTCTTGCCAATTATCCAAACCAACTGGTCCCACTTCAAACGACACATTTCAATATACACCCTCCTACTTCCCTTACTACCCCAGACGAAATTGACTCAGCCATCTCACATTTCAACCACCAAGTTAAAAAAGCCTTCAATGACTCATCAACTTTCACCCTCCGCCCCCACCCCACCCTACCTCCCGACATACTGCTTCTAATAAGACAGAAACGCAAAGCTCAAAAGCTCTACTACAGGACACGGTCATTAATTGGCAAAATTACTTACGTTACATTAAAACAACAACTCAACGACAGACAAGCGCTATTTGATAAAACAAAATTCGACGACCTAATACAGGATACCAATACAGGCAACCCCAAAAAACTACATACCATAATCCAATCCATCCGACCGAAGAATTCACACCTATGACCCCCTCTTCACCCCTGAAAACTCTCTTACCTATGGCCCACAGGAAATAACAAACACTTTCGCCAGCACCCTTGCAACTCGCTTTACTTCCACCAATACTCGTATCCCAGACTCCGCTATCCTTCAATTCATACGAACCCCGTCCCTACCACCAGAAAGACAAACCATGTGGACTATACATAACGACGACACCGCTGAAGCGATAAAATCTCTGCAAGTCAACATATCCCCAGAACCCGACATAATTTACCCCAATTACCTAAAAAACTTAACCATAAACGCAATCTCTCACTTAACCCTAATCTTCAATGCCTGTCTCCAAACCGCGCACTTCCCCAAACTCTGGAAAACCACCACTGTCATTATGGTCCCCAAACCTCACAAAAACCCCAGACATCCCACAAACTATCGACCTATCAGCCTCCTCTCTATCACCGGAAAACTGTTCGAAAAAATCCTCCTAAAATTCAAGAACCCCTACCTTCAACACCACATCCACCCCTCACAATTCGGCTTCCGCCCTGACCGATCATTGGCTCTGCAAACATTTCACCTTGCCATTAACATCGCCACAGATCTTCGTCACAAATCCCGCCAGATACCTGCTCTTTTCACTGATCTGTCCTTTGCCTTCGACTATATCAACCACCAAATTCTCCTGTTCAAACTAAAATCATACCTTCCCACCTTCGCTACAAATGTCCTATCGAACTACCTAGCACACAGAACTTTTAAAACCAAGTATCTCTCACACTTTTCCCCCTCCCAGCCCATCTCGGCGGGAGTTCCACAAGGTGCGGTGCTTTCCCCCACCCTCTTTTCAGTTTACCTAAATGATCTTCCCTCTTGCCACGGCATTCAACAATTTCTTTATGCATATGACCTAGCCCTTCTCTCGCCCCACCGTATTTCTCAACAGTCCATCAACAACCTTCAAATTGCTGCTCACACAATTTCACACTGGTTCCAAGAAAACTCGATCACAATAAATCCTTCCAAATGCCAGGCTATCATCTTCACTTGGCGAAACATCCCACACCCTTTCCCACCCACCACCATCAATAACAGTCCTATCCAATGGTCCTCACAAATAAAATATCTCGGCACCACCTTCAACTCCAAATTAACCTGGACTCCCCATCTCAGCACCACCATTTCCAAGGCAAACCAAAAAATCAACTTTATTCAACCTATCCTCCGCCACCCGTACCTCTCTGTCAACAAAAAAACTCTACTTGCCGTCACTCATACCACTACGCCGCAAAAGAGCCGTGTGGACCGAACTCGGGCCAACGCTTAGAAATGTAAATATTCGTTTCATGTATAAAAAATCAGAAATCGAAATATCCGTATCAAACTCCCAAAGTTTCTATTTAATTCAGATTGATCAGGGAATATCAATTTTGGAGAAAATCGGCTTAACGCTTTAGGCACCAGCGTTGATAACGGACGGACGGACTGACATTTTGCCATCAATAGACTTTTCAGTCTCATCTAGGATCGACAAAACATGGATTCTGGCTACACCAAGTGTTAGAGATTTTTTATATTTAGTAACTGCAATTATCCACTATTTCGTTAACAAGTCCCATCAATAAGAGATTTTCTGCCGAAAATTCGCCGTTTTGCGGCTCACGATTTTCTGATTTTCTCTTCCCACAAACTACCTTCGTAAGAGCGAGAAATTAAAATTAATGTCTGGTTTCTTGAAGCGAAGTGTTAATTTAGTTATTTGTACTTATTCCGGACTCAAGGGAAACATGTTATACAACATGCACACGCAACCTAGAACTCCAGTTCAGCGGTTTCCAGGTAAATTCGAAAAATTAGAGATTATTCACATTACATGAGTAATTTTAAATGGAGATGTAACAGACTATTTTCTGGTAACGTAGACAATGATTGAGTGCCAGTATCACGAATGCAAAAATTACACATTCAGAATTGGATCTATGTAGGGGGGGTGCTGCTTTTTTTAAATAGACGGTAGTGAAATGACAAAATTTCATAGAAAAATTACCGATATTGAATTTTTAGTCTGAAACCACGATGTAAACATAACCGAAAATATAAACATTAAGTACAAATTTGCTTCCCCAACATACATAAGTAAATACTACCACATGAAATTTTCTCGAAAAAGGATAAGCCACATCCAAAATGTTTCTTGCCAAATATTGTTTGGCATCACTTTCCGCTGCACCCACACATCAATTCCGCTGCACCCCCTCCCCCGGGGTTAATCCGTTCCTGCTCTCTGCCCCAATACTGGAGAAAATTTCCAAATCGTCCTATACTTTACATCGTATCAAAAGATGAGTGAAATTTCTTGTTCGGTTAACAGAGAGTGGTTCGGATTTGATTTCGTTTGGATTATGCTGCAGGGGCTCTGCAAGCGCACCAAATCAAGAGGAGCTGTGGAGTCGCCCAGCCGATCCCCGATCTGAAAACGTCTGTACTAAGAAGTATACTTCCTGTACTTCCAGACTACTTCGTGGTATGTACCAAGATGCAAGGACCTTGGCGTTCAAGAAGTCTCACTAACAGAAACTGGCTTCGTGATAGCGATTTATGTGTTACATGCAAGTCTTTATTCTCTCTTATTAAGACCAAAGACGGTACCTTAGAACGAAATAAGGTGCCAGTGTTAACCGGTCCTACAATATACAGAATGTCGGGGGAAGCAAATTTCGAAAATAAGCTCTTAAGACAATTTTAAGCATATGTTGTCTACTTGGATATTCCGAATGGCTGAGCCGCAATAAGCACTTAAAAGTTGGATTGAAAGAAAATATTTTTAGACGCAGATAATCGCCCAGAAAATTTAAATTGTTTATTATGCATAAAAGAAATAAATATATTTGTTCAGAAATAAAAAAAATAACACAGAATATAAAAGCAATCGAATTGTGTAAATTTCGTGCTTCTTTTATTTCTGCGTTAATTTTTCTTTCTGAACAAAAATATATTCTTTTCTTTTGTAAATAATAAACAATTTACATGTTTCTGGAGTGTTTATGTGCTTCTGCAATGCAAAGTTTTGCCTAGACTGCAATTTTTCAAACCAACTTTTGAGTGTTTATTGCGGCTCAGCCATTTGGGATACCCAAGTAGTTTATTAGACAACATATGCTTAAAATTGTCTTACGAGCTTATTTTCGAAGTTTCGACATTTCCTCCACACACATGCTGTATAGTTGTACTCTTTGGTTGAGACACTGATGTAAGACACTATGGTTCGAGACGCGCGATATTATATTCTCGCATTCTCGAAGAATCTGGTGTATTCGAAAACGATCATGATCCGAAGCATTCATGTTTGAAGGAAGCATGAATTGAGAATTGTTATCTGGTTATCCTCATCTGTATTCAACCTTCTCTGATATGTTAATGGGAAGGTGACGTTTATTGTTAGTTTGTTGGTGTTTTGTTATTTTAATTTGAATAGGCGCTAAACATGTTCGGCGTGCTTGTTACAGGAAGATTGGTGAGCATTATCGTATATCGTTTCAAGAGTGGGTGTTAATACATAATGGCAATGTTTTCACGTTAATTATTCTTCAATTGGCATTCACAGGTCCAGACAGATTTTGAACAGGTGTCGCCTACGCGGTGTGTTTCCACAATCGTAGATGCTGATTCCATTAATCATATAGTCGTATTCCTTACAGGAATCCAACCGTTCCCGGAAGGGACAGGCGGTTTAGGTATGCATTTCATATATTTAGGTCCACAAAGGTTATTACTCGCTCACCTCTCTTGGGCTCTGAAATCTCAACCCCTTCATTTACCATCATTCAAGTATCCAAACTCCTCCATTCCTTTTGCATTTAGTGAAGTAGGAGCACCAGAAAACGTGGGTGGATTTAACCTATATCATCAACACAAAATTAAAAGCTTATTCAAGAATTGCTCAAAACTTTGTGATGTCAGTATTCTTTTATAGTATTTTGTTCTTTTGAATGCTTCCGAAGTGAAATATATCTGTGATATATAAGTTGTTTATTATTTAAATTAATTTTTATTAAACAACGGCAAGTTTTTATTGCCACCTTTAAAAATGTGTGTATCTTTATCATGGATTCAAACATGTAAGGGAATGCTCCTATCCATACTGTATTCAGTTCTCTTTTCCAATTTTTGTAAATTATGAACCTGGGAGCATCCCACGAGTTTGTGTACTTTGCTCTAAATACTCCTGAGATAATTGAGTATGTGTCCAACCTAAAATAGCATTGACAGAATAGTTACTTAAAAGTGAATACAAGGTAATTCTAATGATTTAAAGCATTATCAAATTGTATGTAGAAAGTTTTAAATGATTATTAGAATTTGGAATCCCATAGAAAGTTATCTAAGTAGCAAATTCAATGTCTAATTTTCTGTATTTACCTGTTGTCATATGCAATAATTGATTTAATACTAAGGAGATTCTGAAATAATAATAATAATATTATGTGTGTCTTTTTCCAGTTTATTTCAGTTGGCCAGATGAAAATGCTCCTCCAACATGGCAATTGTTGGGTCATATTTCTAATGAAAAACCATCTGCAATATTCAAAATATCCAACTTGAAGAAAGGGTCTCAGTTCAGTGAAGAGATGGTTATGTTTGGTATGCAACAACAATCTCACCTGGCACGAATAGGAATATCAGTGGAACCACTGCAAGAGGTTCAGCAACAGTCTGCAAATGTTGCTAGTGAAATGAATAATGTTGTTCATTTATTTGGGCAAAAAATGCTTGAAAATTTTGTTAACTACACAAGTAGTTTTGTTGTATCTCCTGCTCAAATAATACCTAATGCTAATGAGTCATATATACCTTTATCTACTATGCAAACGTGGTATAATAATTTTTTGAGAAAATTACAGCAGAATCCCAACTTCTGGAGACTCTGAATTTGCTATTATTATTATTAGTTTCCATTCCTAAATTTTACATGCAGTTTGTTAACGTATTGTGTGTGATGTTTTAATTTTTCTTTTACCTCCATCATGCTGTGTTAATGTCACTGTTGTCCTTGGTGCGTAAAAGTAAATGAAAATAAGTTCACTCTATTGAAGAATAATATTACTATTAGATAATATCTTCCAGTATTTATCACGGATTACTGTACTTTTCATAAAACAACAAAAAAAGTCAATTGAGGCAAAAAAAAAAGTCTATTGAGTCACTGTTATTGCAACACTGTTTCTGTCAGTCCCTCCTTTCTGATTAATTTTTTTTGTAACCTCACTCTTCAGGACCACTAATGTCTGTGTGTAAAGGGAAAATTTGGTTGTAGTTGTTACACATTTTTATTGTTATTCCAAGATACAAGAAGTTATCTAAAATATGAATGAGAATGATAACTTGTTCTGAGATAAATAAATATTTTCCAAAAGAAGTGTGTTAGTCGTAGAGTCGAAATACGGAAAATACTACTAGTGGGACAGCTATTGTTGATTATGAGGAAATTGGGACTATTTCATCAATCGTGAATTTTCTTGCATTGAAGTTGCTTGTTGCAGACTCTTTGCCTTGTACTTTTGATTACAGACAAAGAGTGAATTTTAGTCAGACAATTATTTCATGAAAAATTACTTCTGTATATTTGCTTTCTCTTTAAGTGCATTTTACCTTTTACATTCTTTTGCTTTCTTAATTTTTATTGTAACTTGTAGTTGTACCTACTTGATCAATTTTCAATTGATGACCTGACAGAAATATTTGCTAACTGAATAAACAATTTTTCTATTATTTAGCCTTAGGTCAATCTTATGTATTGAAAATGATGTATATTTATGAATGTGCGTAAGTATTGAGAAATATTCATATGAAATGTCTTGTTTAAGATGACCTGGCAGTGGAAGAATTTGTTAAATTCCAGCAAATGCCTCTCTTATATCACTAGAATTTTGAAAGAAGAAATTTTGCTTTTGTTAAAAATGTCTTTCAGCGGTGTAAGTAGGATCCAGCGAAGTGCCCTTTCTGCCTTACAATTAAATCTGTCTGCATTTGAAAAATGTGTGCTAATGAATGTGTTTTTCAAATATTTTTCCATTGTGAATTAGTATATGTTGTTACTAATTTTTACCAGTGTGATCGTCATTTTATACCAGCTTGTTGATTTTTTTACCAACACGTCAGGAATTAAAATATGCACTTTTCTTTGCATATTGTATGTGCCTTTTACCTTGTTCACTTTAGTTTTGTACATTAATGTGACAAGGCTCATTAATTTTTTTAAAGTTTTTGTACACCTGAAAAACTTGATTAAAATGTGCAAATAAGTTACAATTGTCAGTATAAAAATACTGTTTAAAAATATATTAGTATAATGTATCACAAATTTCATTCCTGTGAATGTTCAGGTATCCTTGTTGTTTACAAAATGAATTGGTTTCATTATTGTTTTTGCTGCTCAATGATTTTTGAAAAGGTTGAAGAGGTTGAGGTTAAGACTGAAATTTACAGCACTAGTCTTCATTCTGTACTCAATATGTATACATATTCTTTTATTCATTTGATGTTTACGTATTCTGAATTTGCAGGAAGTAGCGTGTTTCCAGTTTTATTTTGGTGCTGTATTTCTGTGGTGCCAGTGTTGATATTTGCCACACCATATATTCCTTCGTAGGAATCTGTGCTTTGTTCAGAACCATATCTTTCTTTCAAATGTTTATTTTGTTGTATTTTTGGCTAAAAGAATGTGTGTACTTAAGGAAACTTAAACAGGCTTTTACACTCTTCACCTTATTGAAATGTATATGTTATTGCTCCCCAAATAAAAACAAACAAAAGGTAATAATTTTTGTGAGGAAAACTACTTGTTCCCCATCTAGATCCAGGGAAAGTGAATGCTTTGATGTGCTATTTTTTCATTCATAATGAAATTTCTTGTAGTTCTAAAAAATAAACCCTATGTCTTAGGAAACCCTTTAAAAATATTATTTTGGTCTGGAAGAGACTTCAGTAAGACTACATTGTAACAAATGGATTTCTCGCAAAAATGTATTACCTTGGAGCTTTTTCATTTCATGATACATGCGAAACCAATGAAACCTTGTTGAAAAAAGTAAATACAAAGTGTAAAAGAGCCAATAAGTAATAATATAATTATAATTTCTGAACGTATCTCTTGTGAGGTGAATCACATTTGCACTTACCCAACATAGTCCATGTATCAAGGCTGATTCACTTGTCCACTATAAATGTCAGTGTTATTGGTAAAACCCACATCACTGCAAAGCAAAAATATTTTTAAGGGGTGTCTGTGATGTTGAGCTTCCATCTGGTACTGTTGTGCGAATCTGTTTTTCAGTTGAAAGACTTTCAGGTGTTGGTACTGTCAAAATTGTTTGAGATAATTGAGTATAGATGTGAGTTTAATTAATTTATCATGTTCTGAACTTTCAGATTTAGGCTGTAGTAAATTTCTGTTGAAGTATATGGCAAAAAACAAGGATTAAATTTTTTTGTGATATGGTTTCTTTTACAAAATCAATACTCCAAACATATCATGGAGGACTTAAATGTAAGTGATACAAAACATCAAATTCCAAGATATTTCTGAAAACCAGTAAATGAGTGTCTGTCTCAGTGGAATGTATGTGTGTGCTAAGCAAGTCCATTTCAAAGCATTTCATCTCAGAAAGAGAAATGGAAAAATTAAATTAAAGAAAGAAAAAAAAATTGATATGGAGTCGGCATTTCAGAAAAATTTTCATCTAATGCTTTGTTTTGTAGGCCAGCTAGGTAAAATTAAAAGCTATTATTGAAATTACCATTGAATAATTTTTAGATATTTGGAAGGTATTCATGAGGATCACCCAAGAAATATCACATTTGTAAAATTAATTCTAAAGAACTTATTTTCCTAACACTTATGAAGCGTAAAAAGTTTGAATCATCAGATGTATGTCTAGTTGTAGGCTGGGTGGCTAAAAACCTTCCATCAAAGCAAGTGTGAGAGGGTAGGCAATTGTCATCAGCAGGACACTACAAGAAAGCAGGACACTACAAGAATCATCAGATGTATGTCTAGTTGTAGGCTGGGATCGATATGCTTTGATCACAGTGCCTTTTTTGCATGGAATCTATTGAGAGAACATCCATGTGATCTCCAAAATTCAAAGTTCCTTTGATTTTTTGCATTTTGGGGTGTGGGGTGACTACAGAGTAGTGATGCCACTAGACTCATTGTTGCTGGTTCTCTGGGATAATCTGGAACATCCAAGCTTCTTGTATCAGTAATTATCTGATCAAGAAAGTCTTCTACTTGTGAATTATACCATGTTTAAAATGTACTGCATATGTTCTGTCTGTATTTGTTTTGCTCACTCATATGTAGGGGAACCCATCGCACAAACATTGTATTGTAGTCAAGATGTTTTGCCACAAATTCGCTGAGCAAAGAACAAAAAGTCTAAGGGAAAATTATGTGCAACTGATCCAGAATTGTATTTTGTCTCGTTTGTTGGTTACTTGATTCTTCAAGTTATTTGTGAGGAGTGATCGGCAGCCAGGTCAGGCTTCTTAATACACAATTGATTCCCCATTGGTGATAATTTCATTCCATGTTCTCTCATTTCTTTTGTTCAATATTGTCTCAGCTTATAGTTGTCTTACATAATAGTACATTTCTGTATGTTTTAAACGTCTGTGCATTCAAGGTTCAAATCACTTATCTAACAGTAAGATTTTCTATTGTGGTTTAATTTTGCACACTCTCTTGTTGCACCTGATTTGTTGGAAACTTCACTCACAGTAACTGAGAAAATATGTCAGGGTACCCAATGGAGCATGACAAGAACAAGCGAGGGAGGAACTGGTGCACTAGGACTGCTTGATAGTGTGATTTGATAGTGTTATTAATTTACATTTATTCACTTACACTTGATATGAAAGTAAATTAAGTAATAGTTTGTTGTTTTCCTGTAGAAGTAGTTTAACAGGTTATACTTATACCTAAATATCTTTGTAACACTTAATAACATTTTCAGAAAATATACTGTTATGTATTTTCAGTGCAGATAAATTAGCTAGATCAATGAAAATTTTGTAAAGTTTTGGTGTTTCTTTTCCTAGAATGTTCTTGTTTGTTTTATCGTGTTGTTTGGAGCAACTAAGGAATGAACACTGTACTCAACCTCTTTATTCGTATATCTTACTCCTTCACAATTTAGTACTTAATGTTAATCTGGTATGTAGAAGTATAATGTACTGAATGTTCCAATCCTACATGCTGTGTGCCTGGAAAGTCTCCAGGACATAAGAATTTTAAAAGTATAAGATTAAATGCTGTCAATTGAAGTGTCAAATTTAGCAATGTATTGTTCATGCTCTTTAGAAACAATTAAGATCCCTGAAACCTATTTAAGTTAATTGTAATTTTTTGGATAATCTCTGAAAAAAGCCTAGAACCTGTTTTGTCGACTGTTCACTTGAATTCCAACATCAATAATAGACCAGGGTCAGTGTTTTCGGATGCAACAGGTCCTGCTAGTAAAGGAATAGAAGCTTCTTTAGCTACATTTAGTGCAAAACCTTAGGTGAAGTTGTTTTGAAGTACTTGTCATAGACACATGGATGTGTACCGGCAGTATAGTTTTTGATCATTCTTTGTAACTCTCCTGCTTTTGGTACCTTTGGAGATCTTGCTGGTGGTGACTGAGAGGTGGATCCTTTTCCTTCATCTTCTATAATCTCTCTCTCATCTTGATGGTCAGTGCAATGTAGTGTTTTATATATGCTGAGAACTGATAATAGGCCCTCAGCCTCACTGATTCATTCCATATATCTATAGGGAGGAAGAAAGATTCGTGCTTAAAAGAATTTGAATAGGTGAGATTCTTTGGTGTATATACCTGTGAGCTTTGTGATGTCTCACTTCAAATATGTTTTGAAGTATAATTTTACTAAGCAAATGCTGAAATTGGGCCCAATAGATATGAGAACATATATATCTTACTTCAGCTCATTACTCAGTACCCAATGTGTTTCACAATCTGGTTTGCTAATTGCCTTTATTTCTTAAATTTATTTATTATCTTCCACCCTATTAGCTGTTTGAAAAGGTCTTATGAATGGAAATAACTATACTTTATATTTGTGACAATCGTGTGCTAGAAAATAAAATGAACATGTTCCTGCAAAAAAAGCAGAAATGACGTTTTGTACGTGTTGTTATTTTGAATATTGGATTGTGTGTAATGTGCTGTTCTTTTTGTAAGATAACCATGTAACTCAACAAGTTTTCATTTAGTTGCATTATCCTCTAAAGAATGTACTTCATTAAAGCAATGAGTCTCAAAGTGATATACTGTCCCTTTAGGAGTGTGCAAACTTCAGTTGTAAGGGATCAGTTGCCATATTTGAAGCCAATTTATGCACCAAAAATAGGAAGAAATTCTAAATAATGTAAAAGAATTGATGAGAAATAATTTGAAATATTCAATTGTAGGGTAAACAATATTGATTTTTAAATAAAATCCACTGTATTTATCCAATCTTTAACTATGTATGCTAATGTAAATACATTTTAGAGATAACCATATGTATATAGAATCTGCTTGTAAAAACACTAATTTATTTTTAACATTGTATTCTTAGGCAAATAAGGGTAATACATGAAATAGCAAAATCTGATTGTCCTGAAAGCCTGAAGCACCTATCGATGTTCCCGCAGTTTGTACACTGGCTGAGAATTTGCTATTCTCCTTTCTTGTTATTGTGCAGGCAGAATATCCAATAAATCCTCTGTGAACAGCTCTACATTTATCCTGAAGTGATATTCAGATACTTGTATGTTTCAATCATATTATCTAGTACTTGTCCTGTTTGCATTTAAGGAAATAGTGATTGTTAAATGTGACCAAAGTACCAAGAAATGCCTAGCATAGATTCTATTAAGCAATGATTATGCAATAAAGGGAATTAAAAATATTGTATGAAGTGCTTTAAATAGGGGTTAATAAGTAACTGCCAGGAATTCTACTATAATGCAATATGCTCAGGTAGTAATGTTGCTTAATGATTTTTTCTCCTTAAAAAGGTGTTTAAAATGTTCAATAATACAGTGTAATGAAGAATATTCAATAAAGACATGAATAGTTTTGGTAACTTATTGTTATTTTTGTTTATTGTTTGTAGAGTTCAAGTTAACTTTCGTCTTGCAGTTGAAAATTATATTCTGCCCTAATACACTACCTTTGACGTCGGCTGTGTGGAACTCTCAACACACTCTTCAACAATGAGAGAAGCGAATTAGTGCATCGTCTGATGTCACTGCAGTGCCTCTGACTGGGAGGTCCTAGGTTCGAGTCCCGACAGTGGCAAGATTTTCGACACTAGCTTATCAGCTTGATCGAATTCAGTTACTGTGTGGAGGAGAATTGTAGAGGCCGGCTGCTCAGATCGATAGTTTTCCCTGGTTTCTCCTATCAACTCCTGACGAATGCCGGAGCAGTACCCTGACAAACGGGTCATAGGCTGCGCGCGATCTTTCTAATCACTTTCTTGTATCCTCGCCACCTTTAATACACACTGACATGCACTACACTGCCACATATGCCGGGAGATCGGTCGGGAGCTTGTCCCGGCTGGGGCGGTGCCACGCTGGTGGGTGATACCTGCTTATAGGAAACCCCGCGGGCGGACGGTAGATTCGCGCCAGATCTAGCCATCCAGCGAGGAAAGATCACCGCCACTTTTGAGGAAACTAGTGGAGTTGAAACAGTACATACTTTCTCGCCCCATAGAAACGGTTATGTAATAACATTATATAGCATTTCTGTCTATATCAACACATCTAAGTCGTTTAGCTCTGACAACAAAGCGAGCATACAGCGATGGGCGCTGCCAACAGTGGGTACATTTTATTATCAATTCTTGCTAAAAGCACCATTTTTGCCATAAATAGAACTTTTTCAGTTTGCATTGTTGGTTTTATGAAAGTTCTTCTAAGACGTTTCTTACGGAACACCTTCGAATACATACAATTATTTTTATCCATGTCTCCAAGGTATTTTAAGTTTATTCTTAAATAGTTTATTTTAAAAGACTTACAACCAAACAATACCATAATTAGTCTCGTCATAATTAACACAGTTACAGATGCCGCGGAAAGCAGAAAATCTGCTAAAACTTTTCATCGTTGCTGCCAAGTTCGTACATTAGTTAAAAACTAAATAAAATGAATGAAAACTTATAAATATATTTTTTTTAATTTCCAGCATATCGTACCGACAAGGAAGTACAATTTCACAAATAAATGGAACATCCAGAAATATATGCCATCCAATATAAACCATTATGAATGCAATCAAAACAATACGTAAACGATATGCCGTCGTCTCTTAAAAACGGGAGAACGGTTGTATGCCGATGACAAATGTTCTTTGAAAAAAAAAATCAATAGTACGATTTTAGAAGTTTCAAATTGATTTTGGAATAACAAATTAATAGTTAATGAAGGAAAACAGTTTAAATGCATTTTTGCCTTTCAAATCAGCAATTGCATGCACCATTGAAAATTAATAATATGCAATTCCGTGATGTTCAGGTAACAAAATTGCTAGGTCTGTCAATTCAGTCAAACTTCAAATGGAATATACATATAACGGAATTAAACACTAAATCAAGTTCATTATGTTACGCATTCATAACTATTTCAAATTCTGGCAGCCTTCAAGCAGCACGTGGCGTGTATTTTCCGAATGTGCATTCCCGCCTGAAATATGGCATACTATTCTGTGGAAGCTCATCATGTAGTACCCAGACATTTGGATTGCAAAAGAAAATTAATCGAATAATGAAAAAATGCCATCCGCTTGATACTTACAAGCCTCTCTTCACTGAGCTTAGAATCTTACCATTACCTTGCCAATTTATTTATGAATCTGTAATATTTTTCAAAAGTGACTTACTTAACGGTGGGAACATATTTTCAGGCAATATTGAGATTTATAATTACAACACACATTCATCAAGTGTCGGTATCAACAGCACACTATCAGAAATACAATTTCAATACATGCACGTTACTTTACAACGTACTGCCAGATGACTTTAAACAATTGAAGCCAAACAATTAAAGGATTTTTTAAAATTTAGCAACTGGATTTATCCACTTTTTCGTTTACGCGGCCCGGCAATAAGAGTTTTTCTGGCGAAAATTAGCCGCTTTTTCGCGCAGCAGTCTGTCTACCTGCCCTTCCGTCTACTGTGTAAGCGATAGCGGGAAAGTAAAAGGAAACGGTCAAACAAAATTTGATGATCTTGTGATAAAATTGGATGCTAATAGAATGAGGCCCTCATCAATTACAATTACAAGAAGAAGCATTAGTAATACAAAGTTTAGTTAGCAAACAAAAGTATCTATGAACAAAGTGGTAATAAAAACCGTGTTTAGTTATGGGTGTGAATCATGGATTATGACCTAGAGAATTGAAAATAAGTTGATGGTGTTTGAACGAATGGGGTGAGACGTATTTTTCGGGCAGAGCCGGAGAATGGACAATGACGGAGGCGTAGTAATACGGAGCTATATTCTTTATATAAATTCCCTGATATTATTATATAAATCGTCATATATACTACGTCGTCTAGAATGGGCAGGACATGTGCAACGTATGCCAGATGCGAGAATACAATAGAAAGCTGGGAAGTGAGGGTGTTTGGGAGCAGACCCCAAATCATATATGTCGCTCAAGAGGCAAGGGAACAGTTGGGGATAAGAATATGGAGAAGAGTTGCTGAAAGCAGAAAAAATTAGAGGCGAATTATTGGCGAGGCCCGAGCCCGACCTGGTTTGTATCGCTGTGGACTAAAGGGCCATTCACAATGCAAACGTAAACGTAAGCATGGCATTGACATAAAAGTTATGACTTTGTCTATAAGCGGACTCATTCACAATTCGTTCGTATAAGCATAACACTTAAGACGTTAACTTTAAGGCTTTCAAGCTTCTGTGCTTATGCTTACGGATGACATAAGAAATGAACCAATCACAGAAAGGCAACTCAAAATCGAGAATCCAAATTGGAGTGAAGTCGATAGAAGAACTAACGCCATATGGAACACATAGTCGATATCTTGAAATCGATTCTCACATCCAACCAGAAAGTCTCACAGCCAATAGGAATATATTTTGCTTACGTTTATGTTAGACATTGTGAATACTTCAGTTTATCGCGTATGTTAATGTTTATGTCTATGCGCTATGCTTATGTTTACGTTTGCATTGTGAATGGGCCTTAAGGCGATATAGAAGGCGTACTGTGGGCAATGGAGAGGGTACCCAGAAATGGTGTCCCGTTCAGAGATGGCGCCACCGTCGAATCCTAGGCGTCATTCACAATGCAAACATAAACGTAAACATAACAGCCACAAAACCTAGAAATATGCTATTAAGTGATACCATTTACAACGCCTTGGCGTAACCGTAGACGTAAAGCCGTAAACTTAAGAGTTCACAAACACCAAGCTTTTACGTTAAGTTTACTAGGGAATTCTACCAACGACGAATCAGAGAGCAGCTTGAAAGAAACAAACATGGATTGTGCTCAGGTAGTTTGTGGTTATGTTTCATTACTGCTATGTACTGAACTATTTTGCGAACTGTTTTGACATGAGTAGTGAATTCAAAGTAAGAATTGGGGCAATTTTTCTTGTGATTTCAACTTGAAGTTGCGAATAAAGTAATTACTTCCGACGAATCACTCGTGAATTTGGTACAAGAGAATCCTTAGGTTTGTTCCAGCAATCACAATTTTACGTACTGTCACTCTGCGCATGTGCGAGCGCAAACTAGTCCGAAATGAGTCCAGGAACAAGTAGGTTGAAGCTGGATCTACAGGAACAAGTAGGAATTGCTGGAACAAGTAAATTCAAGAATTACTCTCAATTACTCTCTCATTCAAGAATCAAATCTCTAGATGCCGCTGCTTTCGTTTCATCGGTAATTGCAGAATTATGCGCCAGATGTCACCATTTTCGTATCGCCTGCAAAAATCAAAGCATCCTGGTATTTACTTGCGCTTTACGTTTCTCCATATTTGCTCGCTTGTTACTTTTTTGACCTTGCTATTAATTACGGAACGGAATTACGGTTTTGAAAGTGGTAAACTATAACTTGCGCTATTGTTTTTGATTATTCTTTTGATTTCGGTTAATTGTATTTTTTTAAATGAGCGATAATAACAGTTGGGCAGATTCTTCTCAATCTTCCATGTCTTCGAATGAAGATTTAATTGCCATTTTGCCCAGGAAGAGAAGATCGAAAAGTGTGTCGAAATATCCACATGAAAATCCGAAAGATAGCTGTCACTAAAATCCCAGAATCAATCAAACGTAAAATAAAGCACGATCAAGTTCCAATATTCATGAGAAAAACCCAAAATATATCGAAGTCACAAAAAAAACAAGAATCAATAAAATGCAAAACAAAGCAAGGTCAAAATATATAGAGCGGAACACCAAACAAATTGGCAGAAACCAGACGGAAACTGGCTTAGGCGAAACTTACGATCCAGCTTACGTTCGTGATAGTAAATGCTTGTTTTCACGAGTAAATTTTTACTGCTAAGTTTACGGCATTACGTTACGTTTAAGTTTACATTGTGAATGATGCCTTAGTTCCGAAAAATGTGGTGACAGAATAGAGTGCAAACAAGCCGTAACTCACCCCATTTGCCCCCACAACCGATTTTACCCATCCAGTACTTAGTGGCGGTATTTTCAAAGTATAGAAACTATACTGCCAAAAGATCTTTCGATAGCATTTACAGCTAGGAAGCGCATGTTGCCCTACGCATGAGCGCGCGGGTCTACCGCCTCCTTATGAAAGAAAATATTTATTTCACTTACATAATGTTTAAAAAACGACTGAGTTTATAATGAGACATCAATTTTATTATTATTATTATTATTATTATTATTATTATTATTATTATTATTATTATTATTGTTGTTGTTAAAATTATGGCTCTTTTTCAGAACTACTGCTGAAAATTGACCCTTTGGCATGCCATGAAAGAACCACTTTTACTAGTGTCTGTCTAAAAAATATATATTTTATCTATTTTTACTTTCTCGTTACTGCTTACGCAGTATATTG